CCCCTCACCCCAGGGCCTCTGCCAGCTCCTGTATTTAGTGGTGAATAGGAGGCCTGACAGGACTGTAGTTCACGGCCCAGCCTGCTCAAAACATAAGCAATTATAAAATTCCAGGGAAATTAAAATAATTTTTTTATTGTTTTCTCCAAATTTGGTCTTACCAAAGAGAAACATAGCACGTTAACTCCATCTATTCAAGTCATTTAATTTACCTTTATAGAATTTACAGGTTTTGTATAATTCCTGAAAATTCTTGAGGCACATTCCTACATATTCATATATACATATGTATATGCATATATATACATAATATTATATATGTGCTGGTTTTAAAATATGACATAAAATAAAGCCAGTCTTATAAAGTTATTTTGCTAGCCACCTTATCTGTTCTTTTATTAGTTTTTTTATTTGATTCCTTTGTGTTCTCCAGGTTGATCATCTACAAATAATAATAAACTCAAAATAATTATTCAACATTTATTTACAGTTTCTATTTTTTTAAGCCTATAGTATCAGTTAAAACTCCCAGAGCAATGTTAGATATTTGCGGTAATAGTGGTCTTCTTGTGTTACTTAGAAATTTAATTGAAATTCTTCCAGTGTCTTACCATCAAGTTTGCCATTAGTTTTTAATCAGTTTTCTTTATTATGCCTATTCAATTCTAAAATTGTTATGTTTTTTTATTAGACAAGAATATTTAGAACTATCAAGTGACTTTTGGGCATTTAGGGTATTAGGTGACATTTTCGTATGTGAATTATTACTACCCTTTGTTCACACGAACCCGCAACCTTTGTTCTGCAACCTCCCTTGCTTTATGTGTTCTGTCATTGCCTCCCCTTGGTGCTCTTGAACTCATGCTTCTATTCCCTGCAGCGGTTATGGTTGATCAGAAGGCTCAAGTAGTGTCAGTCAGCAGTATCTTCCATGACACAGTTCCCTGATAAACTGTCATCTACCGGCTTTAGAATCTACAAACAATGGTTTCAGCTTATACTTTTTATAGGAGTTGCAAAATAATGATTTAAAAATACCTAATATTATTTTCTCTACTGAGTAGCTGAATTTTTCTTTTCTGTAAAGAGAAAGTTAGGTCACGCCGAAATGCAGTTTGTCAAGAAAGGCAGGCTAAAATGCACTCCCCCCCGCTCCCCCATCTGTTAGGACCCTGAGGTGGTGCCCTGGGACCCTCAAGGAAAAGCGGGGGAGGAAGCCAGTGGCGCTGAATTTTCTATGTCTGTCAACAAGTGGTGATGCTAAAGAGTATTTTCACTTTTAAACTGTTGAAAAGGCCCTTAATGAGGGTCACAAACATGAGAGGGAGAGGCGTGGTCCATCTCTTTGAGTGGTAGATAATATTCCTTCTGCCCCACTAACTTTCCTTGTCTTGCCCTCCGTTTGTCTCCTGGTTGGAACACTTCGGGTGACTTTTTTCTATGGGCATCAGGCAGTTTCATTTGTCTCTGGAAGTTTTTATTGTTTGTTTGGAATTCATGATTGATCGTGTAACTTTTTAAAACATTTCTGCTATGTGTTGAGTAAGATTATGTAGCTTCCTGTTGGGGAGAAGAATGTTGCATTCTGGGGCCAAGACACTGGGGTGCCTGTGGCACTGTGGGGATGGGTAAAAGCTAATTGTGGGGTTCTTTGCAATTAGCAAGGCTGCGAGATTTCAAGAGCCCCCAAGAAGAAGCTAAAGAAATCAGAAGGGATGGTCCTTACAGAAAAACAGCAAAAACAGTGTCCATTTTTTTTTCCTTCATAATAGCAGTAACTTGATCATGGAGTGTAAGTGATAATGAGGGTGGTGACGGTGTGCATGTATGTGTGTGTTTGCATGTGGACACTGACTTAGGAAGTGATTCTAAAAGAGTAATCTGGGAGAAATATTTATATAAACGTGAATTTTGTGAGTCAGGAAGCAGGCAGCGCCAACTCCCATAGATGGGAGCAGCGCCTGCCATTGCAATGGCCCTGACGTTCATGTGGTGTGTCGTCTGGGTGGACGGTGATTGCTTCAGCCAGTGTTTGTGGCCAAGTCGGGGCCCACTGAGTCATCTTGAGAAAGAATTGGCCAGAAACAGAAAAGCTTGTCTCTGGGTTTGTTCTGCAAAGCCCATGTGAATTTGGGATCATATTTCTTTCTGGCTTATTTGTTGGAGAAACAGAGACGGAGCACACAACAAAGAACACAGCATTACACTGGAAACCAGATGGAACCGGATGGTAATTAGCACATGGCAACGCCTCACAAATACAAGCCATGGGTTTGCCTGATTTTAGCAAATACTGACCTGACACCAGGCCTGAGCCCGCTCTGGGCAGAGCAGGGGAGGGTCCTCTGTCTGTGCACTGAAGGGGTTTGTGAGGCTCTAATAAGAAATGCCGCAAAGAAATGGGATGTTACAAAGGAAGCGATACCTGTTTCAGTAAAGATCTACCCAGGGCCACAGGGAACTCACAGGAGAATTACCGACCCCAGTCTTGGGGACTCGGGGAGCGTGTCCTGTGAGGGACATCTGGGCTGGGACTTCCTGAGGGGACAGGAATAGAAGTCACAGAGCCCCACGTGCAAAGTCCTGCGCTGCGGAGTATGTTCCCCGTTTGTAAACATCTGGAGTGGTAGGTGGAGAGACGGACTAAGACACAGACTGGAAAGGCCGGCCTGGTGAGTCCTAGGAAGTTTGACATTCTTCTGAGGGTGGCCAGGCGTTGAAGGGAGTGGTCCAAGGCAAGTAGGAGTTTTAGAAAACTACCTGTGTCCCACAGTAAGTGCTCAGGCTCCATTTGTGTCATGAAAGAACATTTCATTGTCTCCTCTCATGCTTCCAGGCATGAGTGGCCTCCAGAGAGTGCCTTCTCCTCTATCCCACGCGGTCCTGGTCCTTGCTTCCCGGGGTTTCTAAATTGCACAGACTCGGCCTCAGCCATAGTCCTTCTTGGTGGTTCAGCCCCTAGGGAACCTCCATGAGCTAGCCCATCTAAGGGACGCGTGCGACCAGCACTGCTGTCCTCGGAGCAGCGGAGAGATGGTCATGTGTCTGAGACACAGAAGGTGCTGAACCTGCCTGGATAGTTCACAGGCAACACCAACTTGGGCACATGTTATGTCAGAAAGTGGGAGATTGAAAACAAAACCAGGAGTCTCTGGAAAGTGGGATTGAAACCTGCTTAGATATTGGCAGAGATGAGAATTCCCGTATCTCAGGGGCTTGTGAATACGAAGTGCTTTGATTGCCAGGAAGACAAATGGGGAAGGAAAGACAAAGTAACCAACCTCAGGCTTTTTGAATGTGGTTCCAATTTAGAAGTAAGACATGAGCTCAGAAGTCCATCCCTTGTAACTGTAGAATCGTCAGAGGGGAAAGAGAGCTGTATCTGGTAGGGAGTGGGTCTGAGGAGCTAAAGGGATAAAGGTGTTTCCAGAAGCAGGCCCACTGCTTGGCTGGTTTCAAGCCTTCAAACACCAACGCTTCATGACATGTTAATGCTTTATTGCAGCTCCAGCCTGAG